GCTATGGTAAAAATCGAGCCATCACAAGCTTCAAGCCCTTCATTGCGGCTTATTCTCAAGCGGCGAGATTGCCTCAGTTCTAAGGCTGCGGACCTCCACACCTCGCACATGGACAGGATCCGTTATCTGAACTGTTCCCCAGGCGTGAACGGAAGTGATAACGGCTGCTACTTACCTAACAACACGTGAGTAAAAGTACAGCGTCTGCCGAGAACGGCACAGATACTTCGTGTGGTCGATTACACGTACCCAGTCACGGCGATCCACACTAACCTGAAAAATTCTAAGAACATCCAAAGAAAATATTTCTTCTTCGAAGTACCTGAGAAATGCATTTTCACAGACATACAAATTTATGCTCAAATTATTACCTCAACATAATACGAGTACATTCTGGTTTCGCGATCAAACAGCTGGAGCACTATTTTGTTAATTATGTAAGGACGACCCAGTTGTACAATTATCCCTTCCTCATCACCAATAGCATGCCGAGTTAGTCCACGATCTCCATCTTGGGGAATACCTTGAAAATATTTACGAACTGACGCTGATTTAGCAGAGGCACGCCGTAGAGTACGTTGGCTTCGAGAGAAACGACGCGTAACTATGACGTCACACAACACATTAGGCAGCGTTCAGACTTGTCGCGCTGCAATTGTCGCGCTTCAATTGTACCAGACCCCAGCTTCCCTTTATGTTCTTTCTTCCGGTATTCAATCCCTTTTTCACTGTTTCTCATTTCTACCTGATTCTTAGCTCCTCTTTTTCACTTGAATTTTAATGTAGTTTTTGATACAGGACACTGTGATAATGATTTTGTATACCGTTTTCGACTTTAATTATTCAGTCTCAGGGTTGCTAATAATGTTTCTCGCGGTGATGCATCACGCATCCCTCTTACAAAGCTATTTTCGTTCTATCCACGGATAGATCGCAAGCCATCACACAGCTGTACAAAAAAAAGGCAAAAAACGTATATCAATCGAAAGCGGTACACAAAACCATTACCACAGCGTGTACCATCACCATCACCATTCTGTATCAAAAACTACATTAAAATTCAATGTTAAAGTGAAAAAGAGGAGCTAAGAATCAGGTAGAAATGAGAAACAGTGAAAAAGGGATTGAATACCGGAAGAAAGAACATAAAGGGAAGCTGGGGTCTGGTAATTGAAGCGCGACAAGTCTGAACGCTGCCTTAGTGACGTGTCATTGGGCGCTATTGATAATGGCCCGATATATGTTTCTTTGTCATTAACGTGATATGTGACGTCAATCTTACGTCATCACCTAAAACTTTCACGACATGTAATCTTCTAACATGCCACATACGAAACTAGGCTACAACTGCGCCAAATGAGGTACCTCCTGCTTCACTCAAAAGCACGTTCGGAGCTTCACCAGCGATAACCACAGCACCCAACTGAGCAGTAGCAATGTTCGTATTAGGGGCTGTAAGAAATGCAGATATAGAGAATTAGACTGAATACAAGCTGCACACTACCTCCGAGGACGGCGGCACATGCCAAATGCGATGTGAAGGCTGGCACAGCTGCAGGAGCGTACCACTCTTTCCTCTCAACGATGCACATGAACAGAGCTGTTGGGCAGAGGGAGTTGAGTGCTGCCTCCACACACTTTGCCCGCACTTGCGTCGCTACCACGGTCCCGCAGTGGAACACGCACCCAGCGGTAGGGCTCGCTGGCAGTGGCTGGGTACGGGTATTACTACCCTCTAGCCCGCTTTCGCTCACTTTCGAGCGAGATGGCTTTTTTCTGCAGATGCGAGCCCCTTCGACCCACACACGGCAAAAACCAGGATTCACGGAGATGACTGTGCAGCCTCCAAGCCAGAGAGCAGATGATGCGAAAAATGAAAAAATAAAAGTTCAGCTTACTCAAGAAACCACGATAAGTAAGATCAGTAGTGCGTTTCTTGTCCTGTTCCTCAATAGCATCTAAAATTGTATCAGGTGCGAAAAGACCCGATGGCCTCACTATGTTCAGAAGGTCTCTCTGGCTGATAAGTGAAAGTCGTAGACATTTCATAAGCATCTCTACAGCAGCCGCCTAAAATAAATAAAAAAAGAAGAAACTTGCCACACTCATAGTCTGGCACAACACAATCACCTACCTGCATTTCTGGCCGTGCCTTCACCCATTCGCGTATCGCACAGAAGATATCGATTTCAGAAGCGCAAAATGAATCGCGAGCTATTAGTTGCGTCACTGCATTGATTGATAATTGCAGAAAGCCCTAAATTTAGAGAACAAAATATCAAAACAGCGAAAAGAAGAAAGTCCAAAAACCAGCTCAAGGGAGTAATGTAAATGGGGGAAGGCAAAAACAGGACCGTGACAAGTTAGACTGGTCAGCGCTCTTCGGACCAGCCTACAGGAGGAAGGAAGTACTGCCTCAGAGAGAGGATTCAGATGAAAAGGCCGTCATCCTCCCCCTCTCCTTCAAAATGCTATGGAATATTTCCGCACATTATAGCATACCATACCCAAATTCCTGTCATCATTTCAAGGTCTAATAGCATGACTACATAAAACTTAGGTGCTGAACGGTGGTATTAAGAAGTGACGGGCTTCCACCCTGTAGGATGAGATTGTTTTCTCAACCAGCACAGGGAAAAATCGGATGAAACAGAAAGTGGATACAGGATAAGATGTACAGGATAGGATCTACACCTGAACGAACTAGTTATCCGCGCTGTTCGACCTAACATGCTGTCCCTAATTAGTTGGACACTCCCATCTGTCCAACTAATTAGGGACTGCGAATGCCACGTCGACGGAACGTGGATCTCTTAACCGATCCCCAATGATTATATTTCGCAGTCCAACCAAACTGCGCACTTTGATGTGAGCATTGGATCTGAGTGGTTCTAAACACTATAGAAGAAAACAACACACAAAACTGGACAGCTACCGGCCTTCACTATTCTACTGAGCGGGAGCAGTCTTGAAACGCTTAAAAACCAATTAGCTCTGTCTGTACCTGTGTTGTGAGTACTTCTGAAGCATTCTGATCCGCAAAAACTAGACAATACTCCGTAAGATCGTTGAGTGAGTACAACTGAGAAATATTGAAAATTGTGCAAAGGTTCTTGTTGTTCAATATTGCCTGGAACATGACAACAATTTTCTTTTCAGTTTGGAAGCAAATTACATTACCAACTTATCGAACAAAGAAAAGTTGTACCAATATGAATATGTTTCTGGTCCAAGCAATAGAAATTAAGGCTTTCATGATTCCCATCTGCCTTCGTCACATTCCTGTTATGCTCGTCCGTCCGAATGTTCGTAGTCAAACGTTTTCACTCCTTCACTTCTGGGCGCTTTGCTGTTTGATACGTACTAAACAATTTCTCCTTAACTATACGAACCGCAGGAATGCATTCCACGCCTTCGCAATAACCTGCAAAAGTACGGATGTAGTTCAGCAGTGGAATCGAAGGCGGTTAAAGCAGCGTTGTAAACGAAGTCGCGCGCACGGCATTCACAGCGGAAGGGTTGAGCATCACGTCACGGGAAAATGTCCTGTTCATTGCGACCCTATCACCAGGAGGGGCATCAATACCCTCACCACTTAGTAGCTGTGAATGTATTCGCACTAGTTTCCAGCCTTGCTGGGAGAATGGAATGGCTGCATAACCTACTAAGCTTCAATCCTTAGAATGCATAATATTATCCGCACACCATCTTTTTGCCAGCGGTGAGCGGGATTCGTTATTGCTGCCAAGGTTCTATCCAAAATACGCCGAAGCTACAACATGGATTGCTAGGCGGCACCAATCCAAAGATGACGCGGAAAATTTTCTGCAGGTTTTGAATAAGTTTTTGGCCTTCTGATGGATACAAGTTTCCTAATATGACGTGGAAGTGAAGACCTACACGAATATCGGAAAATTTTCTCCTTCCAAGAAGCACAATATTTATTTTATAGGTCTTCGATAACGACGAATTTCCCGGCATGATATCATTACAAAAACCTGCCTCATCTGCACTAGGGACTCTCTACAACATTGCCCATACGTCCATCTACAATCTTCGGAAGGCTTCCAGCACATGCCCTCCACCTGAGGACATATGACGGGCAATGTAGTGAAGGGTTCCTCTCGCTGTGCCTGAAGTAGATACTAAACCGAGCACAGAGGCGCTAATCAGTCGCTTTACGGAATGCGCTCCGCCTTCACTGGCAAAGGAAGTGACATAGAAGTGTGCACCTATGCAATATGGCCCCTCCCTGAGTCGGTAGGTGGCTGGTGGGCAGCTTGTCGTATCTAGACAACCATAGCATATGGCAACTTTGTGGTCTCCTTCAAAATATATCAATTTGGCATGAACTTCCGACTTTATGAAGATATCACGCTCCGTGACGATGCACAAAAACAAAAGCGTTACACTATCGCTGCCAGCGCTCTGTTCATTTCTAACACCTGCACATACGCAAATCCTCCCTAAACTTGCATGAGCCTGCGCACCAAAACCAAATTTGTTTAACCTAGCAGTTCAACAATGTGTGAAGTCAAATTGTTAGGAAATACTGCGCCACTGTGCATGCATTAGGACATACTGAAGTACTTCCCATGGCTTCCATTTAAGATTGCAAACTGGTGCCATAAGCAGCAGTACTCGTATCTTTCCCTGTCACAAATTGGGAATAAAAACGCAATAGAACAAAAACATAAGACTACCTTTAAATAGTCGGCGATTGCATTTTGAAGCTTCACGAAACCGTATTTATGAGCGAGACCGAGAATATCCATGAATTTGTTCTTCCTTATACTCAAGCAAGGTAAGCTTAGCGGTATAAATATACCTTAACCAGTATGAATATGAATCAGCAGACATGAGACTGTTTCAATACTTTAGGAATTTCAAGAATTTCCGTGAGAGGGGTCATAAAGGGATTCTGTATGAAAAATGGGATCGTCATGCGACCCCACCTCCTTCACCCTACTGCTTCAAAATCTCACACACTCACCCGAGTTTCTTTACATTACGCCTAGGTAAGTCATTTTCAGTAAGGCTACTTAGTTGCAGACAATTCATCAATGAAAAGAAGACACGCACCTCAAAAGAATACGAAATGCAAATACGTTAGTCTCCTCGAGAACGATTTCGCCTTCATCACTTTCTTTCATTCCTCCATAAAGCATAGCTCTATAAAACAGCAAAAATAAAAAGAAAACTTTTCTAATAAAACATGTGTAAGAGTATGAGCTATAAGTAAAAAACATTTCTTGCCTGAAATAGTCACTTCGAGCAGCCAAAAGAACTTTATGAGCAGGAAATTTCTCTCCGTCAACCGCAAATATTACATCAGAGAAGTTTGGATTCAAAAACAGGGACCCTATATTGTCCGAAAGAAAACCAGTATGATCGATCTCACCGGAGTAGGAACCTGAACAAGTAAATTCAAGCCATGACATCGTTCAGCTTAATCTGAGTTCTCTTCAAAAGACCACAAATTTCGGCATTGTTCAACTGTTACTACCCCAAAAATCACAAAAAAGTTTTTTGGTGAAACTTTGGTGATACCATAAGGGCAATTTGATGTACTAATCGAGTATGATATTCGTTTTTCACGCCAACGCCATTTGGCGCCACCACCTTTCTCACAAAAATCGGTTTAAACTTGTACATTGTGGCTATTCGGTACCTTGATCACGAACATTACATTCTTTTTAGCCATGGCGCCATTTGGGAACCATCAGATGATGAGTTAGCGCCACACCTTCTTTCATCAAAATCGATAAGAACCTCCATTATAGGGTTTTGAAGCCATCAAGAATATAGCATTCAGTTCTCGACACCAGCGCCCCAGGCTACCAGGAAAGGTCAACAGGTCAGCCTGGCCATTTCCAATGAGCTGCACACCGTTGTACGCGTCTTGGGACAGTGAACTCAAATCTACCTTCAGAATTTGCGGAACGACTCTCTGAACGGAGTTATGGAGGGTTTCATCCCCGCGTGGTTGTTTCACATGCTATCGCGAGGAAACGTGGAAGCGTCTTCATATACAAGAATGGAGTCACATTGAAACGTGGCAGTAGAGCGCAACGGATAGCGAGCGGGTTTACTAGGCGAGACGTCGTAGGATCGGTTCTCGGCAGGGTGCTTTTTTGCATTTGTCCAAGAACATGGCCGACAGAGCTTCTAACATTCTGCTCGCCTGCACTATCCTGTAAGGAAATTTCGACCAGTTTTTTTTTCGAAAGACTCATTATGGCCTGAAAGAGTGCTCGTGCTTGTCCCCCCGTAGCACATGTCACAAGGGTTTTTGCAATGAAATACCATCATATTCATGTTCAGCGGGTTAAATTACCCGGGGACAAGTTTCTAGCCGAATCTGATATTTCGACCTAACTTGGAAAATGTGAGTTATTCCATGGGTAATTAGCAGCAGTTTGGAGCTCACCTACCATCGATGACTGGTCTCGGAATGGGATTTCCTCCCGATAGTCAAGAAAATGATGCAGACGGCACAAATAAGTAAGCCAGGTACTGTTGTTTGCGAAAAGACATGACTGAAGAGTTATTTCAGTTCGAAGACCAGTCATCACCAGTATGCTAGTCGTAGTATGGATGTTGGCTCTCACTGTCAGTCAGCTACTATCCATACCCCATTTTTTAAGTTGGTTCAGAACCTCAGATTTCGTTAAGGTGACGTTTCTAGGGGTTTTTTGACCCCCTGAACACGAATATGATAGCTATTCTGCGCGAAGAGCGCTGTGAGTCGCGCTACAGGTGCCAACGCTTCGGCGCCAGCGCGCCCGGAAGAAGAAAAACAGTAAAGAAAAACCTCCATAACTCCGCTCAGAGAATCGTTCCGCAAATTTTGAAGATAGTTCGAGTTCACCGTGTCAAGACGGGTACAACGATGTGCATCTCATTGCATATGGCCAGGCTGACCTGTTGACCTTTCCTGGTCAGTATCAGCCGAGCGAGATAGAGCGTGCCACCATATAGCGCAGCCGCCAAAGAATGAACAGCCATGTTCCGTAACCGAGGATGACCAATAGCCCCGTATAGAACTTTCAGACGGATTCGTGCTCTGCAGGAGTGCGCGGCATCAGCAACTCCAGTATCAACAGATGTGTATATGACGAGGCACATCACTGCTGCGCGATTTTGGAAGCCCGTACGACCCCCCTTTTTTTTGGGATTCGCGAGACCCCTATACATAAACTTATGAAGTTTCTTCCCCCCCCCCCCGTGGAGGAAGAAACTTCATAAGTTTATGTATAAGTAAGCGCGAAAAATAGAAAAAGTAACAATCCTGAACGAGGCCCCCCCTCGCTTTTTGCTCATTTCTATCCTGATTCAAGGAGAAGAGTATATGGAAGAAAGGGCCATTAGGTTTCACCCACCTTTCCTCGAGTCAAAACAAACTCTGGTACCTGAATCAATTGCAATTAAAAGAAAAAAAAACAGGAAATTAAGCCAACTTCTCCTAAAAGCACTCTGAGCGGTCCAAGCAAAATTGCTGGGGCGCGCTCTGACGCGTATTCGAGTAACTGAGAAGAAGATAAACACGAAAGAGTAAATACGAACGAGAGCAAACCAGCCGCAATCAGCTGATTAAAGGCCGAGGTACCGGGGAGGGATTCTGGGCAGGACCTCCAGCTGCAAGGTGGTTGCAGGTGGTTTGATTGGAGCGCGGATTTTCAGGAAAGTGGGGTGTCTTTAAAGGACCATAACTTCCGTAATAGCGGACCTTTGGGAAAAAGAAGAACGCAGTGGTATGGAGAAAGATTTTATCTTTCCCAAAACATACTAACATGTACATAAAGATCGCCGATTTCATGTAGAAATTTGCGTTGGGGAGTATTTAAGTTCATTT